CCCCAAAACCCCAAAACCCCAAAACCCCAAAACCCCAAAACCCCAAAACCCCAAAACCCCAAGATCCTCCCTAAATTGCCCCAATTATATTAAAATCCCTTCACAAATGGAACAAACCTCGTAAGTCCTCCTAAAGAACCATGCTTAAGCAATACAGGAACAGAGTTTAATAGAACAGAGGAATATAGAGAGGGAGGAATTGGCCCTGTGTGGGGTAGGGTGGAAGAATGGGGATGGGAGGTGTAGGGGAGGTAGGTGGGTGTGGGTGAAGGGATGTTTCTGAAGGAGGATTTAAGGTTTTATGGGAAATAGGGATGTGTTTAAAGGGATTTTGTGTTTTTGTGTTGTAGTTTAAGGGGTGGAGTAATTGTGAAAGGCTGGTTTTAGTAATTGGAAGCGGAAGTTTTAGCAAGATTTTAAAGAAAGCTTTAATGTAATATTTTTAGAAAGGATGAAAGCCAAATTAGTGCACTTATAAGTCAAGTACTCCTAATCCGACATGCACAGTCACTATACAATGAGAAAAGTCTTCAATTAAAAGCGCAAGACAGTGGCTCTGAAGAATACAAGCTTAATGCTATGGATATATCTATGAGGGATTGTAACTTATCTGAGGCTGGCTTGACTCAAACCAAAAATTTGCAGGAGCAGATAAACTTGTTGAACATCAGAATTGTATTGGTGTCTCCTCTGAAGAGGGCACTTTCAACAGCTTATCACTTGTTCTGAGAGCATCCGAACTTCGAAAATATTCAATTCATAGTGGTTCCAGAGATTAGAGAGATATTCAGGAGTTTTGGAAGCGTCCCTGGCAATACAAAGAAAGTTTTAAAGAAATTTAAGGAAAAATTCTCCTGATTTGACACGAGTCATTTAGAAGAAGAATGATCTGACAGTAATATGAGATTTTAGAGGGAAATTTCTTAATTTTTATAATTTCCTTTCATCATTTGAGATTGGTTTTAAAGATATAATTTTAGCAACGATAGATAACGAGAAATCCTCCTGAAAATATTTGAAAGACAAATTTTTACCAGAACTGAGAGCTTTTGAAGACGAAGATCTTGGCACAATGGATGAAGACGAGATATTAAACTCTGTTAAGAAAAAGATTCTTGAAAAATATCCAGATGCCATTGAAGAAGCAGAAGAAGTTGATAATAGAGTTCAAACTGCCAAACTAATAGTGAAGAGGTACCTTGCAACTCTCCCAAAATCAGACTCTGATCCTCCTAAGATGATGATAGTGAGCCATCATCACTTCATAGTCGAGTATCTTGGTCTGAAGAAGTCTAGACAAGGAGGAACTGTTCCCAACTGCACTATTATTAACGATCCTACTGATTACTTCGAGATCATTGACGATCTTTAACGTGATTCATTAAAAAGTTTCAATATTTTAGGTCTTCCTAGGGGTTTTGGGGTTTTGGGGTTTTGGGG